CAGGTGGGCCTCAGCCTGTAGTATTTTACCTTCGCAGCAGGTTTCCAGATTGCCAGACCAAAGCCACTAAACCCTAATAAACACTAAGAAGGCCTGGTTTGATGGTGTATTTGCTGTTGGTGAGGTTGGGCCCCTTGTGACTTTAGGTTGTGGTGGGGGTTGGTGGGCTGTGGTTGTTGAAGCTTCTTGTGTTGGGTTTCTGCTGCCCGCCTCAATTTAATCCAGAGGGCCAAGCTAAAACTTTGTGATGGTAGTGGTTTTAACTTGTGATGCTTTAGATGCTGTAGCTTGGGTGAAGTGGCTTGAAAACGGGTGAAGATATTGACGCGCGCGTTGGGACATTCGTGGTCTCGGTTTTGGGACAACTTTATTTCGAGTGGGGTGCCTAACCTAACCACTTAGGAAATATTGGCCAGGTTGGCTTTGTCCACTTTATGCTGTTTTCATATGTTTTCACCAGAAGGAATTTTATTTTGTATTTCTGGTTTAGGACCCCATACCCATGTTGTCAACAGATCTTTGCCAGGATAGGCCCTGAGAACTTTATTTTATTTTTTCAGGGTGCCTAGGGAACCTGGTGATAACAGAGGGGTATTTGAAAACAACGTGCCAAAATACAATGCTCCTTGACCAACAGGTTGCAGATCAGCGAAACAATACTTGCAAGTCAAATCGTTGAATGCACAAATTTGATGAACTTTGTGTTGCCTCAGCCACGACAGCGGCTCAAACTTCAGTCGGCTTGTGGTCTGTGGAGTCATATCCGTGTGCGTGCGGTGTTTCCGCGCATTTGCTAAGTCAGGCCATGTCCGAGTTGCTTGCCAGCACTTAGTTGGTGTGATTAACCGTGACATGCAAAGAGTTGCAAAGTCTTGCAGGTATGTGCGTTTGCGGTTGGTAGTTTGTTGTGCGAAGTCCATTCAGGAGCGCCCGCCTGGCGGAAACTTCACATATTGGCAACTATGGCGTTGTGACCTTAGCCGCATGCTTGCCAGATGTTTGGAGAATCACAGGGTTCAGGATTCGTATCCTACCATTGTCGCTTTAATTGCGCTTTGCGATTGACTCATTCATTAGCCTGCCCAGTTTGGAGGCGGCGTCTGCAGAAGGAGAGGTCACATCCCAACAGGATGCATCGCAAACTGCACCAGCTGCACCTCATGAAACGCAAAGACAAGGCATGTTCCCTGTGGAGCCCTTTTGGTGGCTTGGTGAGCTTCTTCCAGGCCAATATCCGCACTCCATCCGCATGTTCAATGGGCCAGGAATCATTGAACGAGTCATGACTGCATTGACAATGCCCCGTGTTCCGAGGTATTTGCCCAGCTACGTCAGAAAAGTCCACAGTTTTCCACATTTGGTCCTCCTCACGGGCATGCTTGCCAATTGTGGGCTTTTTGTTCAGCTGGTGTTTTCCTGGAAGTATTGGGAAGAAGAAGAACATGGCCCTTGGGATTATGTAGCAACTTGCCGTACAGTACTGACATCCAGCAAGTAAATAGCGTTCGGAGTTTCATCACATTTTGTCCAGTCGATTCCTGTCTCATTCTAGCGGAGCGGAGGTTGTTATTGCATCCTGCCTGTTTGCGGTGATCAGCTTGCAGCTACTCCATGCTGAGTTGGTTCAATACAGTGACTTGAGAACACACTTGATTTTGGAACTTTGTAATCAATGCAGGCTTGTCGAGGCCTTTGTTTTCTCCATCACCTTCCGATTCAGGCATTGATTTGCACGAGTCCTCGGTTGAGGCACAAAAAAGCCCCTCGACTTTGCTAGTTGGTTTGCACACGTTCGCACTGTTTGTGAGCAGTTTGTAGATTCGGAGTGGCTTGCACAAACATTTCCAACAAACCTGCTCCGAGTGCCAAAGACTCCGCTAGTGCACCTGTTTAGTTATTTATATAATTGTTATAGGGGTTGGAATTTCCTCTACAAAATCGCGGGGATTGGGACCCCTAGAAAGCGATTGTTTTAGCAATATATTTTTTGTTAATATGGAGGCTTGTAAGTACCAACCTGGAAGTTTCTCGATTTTATAGAGAATTGTTGTTTTGTACAAGCTCGATTCTATAGAGGTGTTGACGTGATGGTGTAATGGATCTTGGTGCCTCAGGCATATTGATTCTATAGAGAATTATTAGCATGGGTTTGCATGTCAGGGATTGCAATTCTATGGAGAAGTGGATGACTTGGGGACGACCTTTGGACACTATAAAATCACAGACCCGTACCTGTCCATGACCCCCTCTTATTTCTCTACAGATTTGTGGTCCTACCAACTGGGGAATCAATGCCTTCTTGGACCATGTTTTCTTCAGAACCTTGTACCTTGATTCTATAGAGACCCATGTTTTCACTCCTATTGAAAAACACCTGTTCGGGAGTACCTCAGGACCTGCATTTTTATACAGCAAGATCCTCAGTATCCACATTATTTAATACAGCTTTTGACAGACTCATGGCCCTCAATTCTATAGAGCTGACTCCTTGTATTTGGACTTTTTTCCCCATATCTTTTTCAATTTTATAAGGTCAAAAAGTGACAATTTGTTGAGGGGGTTGGTCCTAACATTTTAGTACTATAAAATCGCTACCCCCGGAGTACCCACTTAATACCAACCCCTATTAATTGTTCATGTTACGTATATAGCATCCTGAAGGTCAGACACAATAGTGGTTTGCACGAGTTGTCACCAACATTCATCAAGTTCCCCATGACCGCAGCACAAGTTGGATATGTGGTATGTGTTGCATGTAGCCAGGCAAAGATCAAATGATGAGCACGTTCAATGGCATGGTCTGCGACCTTGACACGATGCTGGCCAAATCAGCTGACACTCAGGCACGCCCGCCTCTCTCACTGATTCCTGCCTTTCTTTGGCTGCATCATTGGGACGTTTGACATTCTGGCCAGGCAGCTTTGGCAGAACGAAGTTTGGACTCTCACAGGTGGCGAGCTTGGCGTCTTGAAACAGAGCTGCGCACGTGTGGCGTTTGCACACTTGTGACGATTGTAATGACATGACAAAGTCATTGGTTTTTCACTTGAACTGCTGAAACTTGTGTGACCTTGCGACCGTGTGACGTGAGAAGCAGGCGCGACCTCCACAACTTCCTGCTGAAGGGGATTAGCACAAAAGTGCGTCGCATGCAGGAATTCCCCACAATGAAGCCCGTCAAAGTTTGAGAAAAATGAACAAGATTTTAGACTGGCTGAATGCCAACTTGTAATGCAATCCTTTGCAGGCTGCTCATGCAAGTGTTGAGTGAGTTTTGAAGCTCAGGGACTTTATAGCTTTCCTCGCCTTATACTTGAAAATCTTTGAAGAGTGCCACTGGGCAAGACACAAAAAGTTACAATAATGTAATGAGGCCTCTTTTGAATGCGATCCTGTTTAACAAAATATAGACCCTGAAGTTCGGGGCCTAAGTCAGATTCCGCCAGCCGCCGGATACTTTAGGCGGCTGATTCCGCCAGCCGCCGGATACTTTAGGTGGCTGATTCCGCCAGCCGCCGGATACTTTGGTGGCTGATTCCGCCAGCCGCCGGTTACTTTGGTGGCTGGCTGGCTGATTCCGCCGGCTACTTTTTAGTTGGCTGGCTGGCTGATTCCGCCGGGTACTTTGGTGGCTGGCTGGCTGATTCCGCCGGGTACTTTGGTGGCTGGCTGGCTGATTCCGCCGGCTACTTTGATAGGTTGCTGGCTGGCTGATTCCACCGCATACTTTGATAGCTGGCTGGCTGGCTGATTCTCCCGGATACTGTGATAGGTGGCTGGCTGATTCCGTCGGGATTTTGATAGGTGGCTGGCTGGCTGATTCCGCTGGATACTTTCATAGGTGGCTTCCGGCATCTCATTCGCGCGTACAGTTGAGTCACTTTTTGCGTGTACAGTCGAGGCGCCGGCCACAGTTCCCGTCTATTTTGAGTGAGAATGGTCCTTTACACAAGTCCCAGCTCCACGGGCCGTGGAGTTTCAGTGTACCGCAGTTAGAGGTTCAGAGGACCTCACCGCACTACCCAAAGGCGGTGTGACTAGTTCTGGCGCACGCCGCGCTAAAACCAGAAAGAGTGGCGGCGGTCCGGGAAAAGCGAATTTGAATCTGATCTGGTCGAAATGCGTTCTTTCAAAAATAGCTGAAAGTTCACATATTCTTTACTTTTGGCACACACAGTTGGCTAATGAAGGAAACATGGACCAAACAAGTACTGGCGCCAAATGGTAAGAGGCGTCACAAGTAGTGTAGGCTAGTGATGGCTTCGGGTTTCGTTCAACAATATATAGTGGTCACATAACTAGTCACATTGCCATGCCACTGATGGCTAAACCCTTCAGATCCTAGAAGCTCATTTTGTCTGATGTTTGCCACGTGTCAAAAGAGCTCTGATGCGCGCTGTCCATGCAAACTGCACTGCAGCTGTCCGACATGCTGGCGCATCGCAAACATGCCTCTCTGAGGCCGGGAAAGCAAAGTCATGTTGTTGTTGTTGGTGGTTGTTTGTTGTTTGTTGTTCCATGGGAACGAAGCTCTTGTGGGAGCGCAGCAACATTGGGCAGAGCGTTGTTAGCAATTTCCACCTGAGCCGATGTTTTTGCGCGCGTAAAGGTTGATTGATTGATTGATTGGTTGGAACCTTGCCTCCTTGATCAACCCTTCGGGCCAAAAAGTGAAGCCATGTACGCGTCCTGGGAAGGCTTCCCTCAGCTGGCGCAGGTATAGATACCCAGGGTAACTACAATTCAGTTACCAGGTATAGTACTTCAAGTTCCCTTTCCGTCAACCGCTCGATAACCTTTACACACGTACAGCAATCCACAGCTTTGAAGTCTCATTGAACTTATATAGGTGTGTAAGAGACATAACAACATAGCATTTATACGTGGCTGATTCCGCCAGCCGCCGGGTACTTTTGGTGGCTGGCTGGCTGATTCCGCCGGATAGTTTGCTGGCTGGCTGGCTGATTCCACCGGATACTTTGATAGGTGGTTGGCTGGCTGATTCCGCCGGATACTTTTTAGCTAGCTGGCTGGCTGATTCCGCCGGATACTTTGATAGGTGGCTGGCTGGCTGATTCCGCCAAGTACCCGGAACGCAGGGTCAATATACAATAATGTAATGAGGCCTCTTTTGAATGCGATCCTGTTTAACGAATTTGCGAAGCAAGCTTGTGTGCGCCTAGGTTCTGCATATCCTTTGGACGAGCCTTTCATCATTGCTACCAAAGATGAAGTTCTGGAAGGATGTGCTTCCATCGGTGAAGTTGTGGTGCCTTTATTAGAGAAGCAGAGCAGTGTTTCTCAGTATGCGTCACCCAAGGGAAAGCGAGGTCAGCTTTGATTCTTGACGGGATCCCTTCATATCACCACACTGCCACTTTTGTTGATTTCGATCTAAGGAGCTCGTTGGCAAGAGGGCGAAGGGAATGGAAGTGAAGTTTCTTCGAAAACAAGTTGATGAAACATGACTCAATCAGTCAGCACGGACGGGCACTGCATGGAAGAAGACAGTAATTAGCCTTAGCTCTTTTGAAGCGCTGGTAGGTTGGAGGCCATCGCTGATAGGTTGGAGGCCATCGCTAGTAGGTTGGAGGCCATTGCTATTAGGTTGGAGGCCATTCCTGAAAAGTTTCGCACAAGACAGTATTTAAGTGGCCTGCCAAGGGGGCCAAGAAGCGATCTTCCACATTGCTCCCTGGATTGGACAACTATTAGGGCATGCTTTACGTAGCTTCGACGGGCACATTCTTTGCACTCTTTTCGCATTCTGAGGCGCCAAAAGTGGAGAAAAGTTGTTCATGTGCCAAGAAAGGCATGACTCCATGACTCCGTGACCTTTGCTTTGCAATTGTCCAGCTGTTGGAACACATGTGAGCATGTTCATCAGCTTGTCATCAGCTAATGGCATTCCATGCACCTTACGGCCCTTTCAAAGTTGCCTTCTAGTGTTCGCGGCCAAAAGGTTGCAGTTCCGCTCACATCTTCCTTTGCTTGGCGCAGAGGTGCTCCTACTCACTGGCCTCTCACAATTTGTGAAGACAAAGCAAGGAGAAGTGGAGGGGAAGAACGACACAAGCCCGGATGAAGAAATGAGTTTGCCAAAAGGCTGTGCATCTCAGCTTCACAAGTGTAGTCTATGTAGTGCCGAGCTTGTGCACCAACTGGGGCAACGTTCATGATCAGCACGTGTCTCGGATCACCAAGTCCGGTGACGCGAAGCAGGAGATCAAGTGGTGCCTTAGAGTATACATATCGTGTTTTTTCTCAGCTACCACTGTCACGCTGCGAGTGCATCAAGTTTGCGGTAGGCTGCGATTTGACCTGAGCACGTTGGCTGCAAATTGTAGTCATGACAGCTGGTTGAAGCCACTATCCTAAGAACTACCACAATAGCGTTCTTGGTGGAATGTCGGACACATTGTATTTATAGATTTATAATATAGTATATAATTCTTGGACATGAAGAATTCATGCGTCAGATGGTGGCTTCGTCATCCACGTGGAGGAAGACGACCCCTTTCCAATCCAGATCAAAGGTGGCTTCTTCACGTGCACAGAGCCTTTGCTGAGCTAGTCCTGTCCGGTTGAGAATGGTCCGAGCGCTGACTGTCACAGCCGTGACGGTCACTCTCTTTAATTATTATTTGGGAGGGTGGTATTCGCAGTGCTCTAGTTACGCTAGCTGACTTCACTTGAATGCAAAGAGGTGCTTTCTCCGGAGCATGCAAGGCGGGGTGGTGGACAGATGAACGCATGCACAGATGAGAAAGCACTGTCAGGCAAGCTTGTCTTTGTCTTCGTTGGTGTCACAGGCTCCTTTTCAGCTTCTTCATTGGCGTTCCACTTCTGCTGATGAACATCATGTTGGTTCGGCCACCATATACCGTCGTCATAGGCAACATGTTGGCTGCTGCCCCAGAAGTAAACAGATGCAACTATTCTGCAAGCTTTCCCGTTTTGGCTTAAGTGTTTGAACGCCCAGGTTACCTTGATTTGCATTACATTCGCTCCTCAGCCGAAGCTATCAGTTCATGTACTGTGGCTCGCTGCGCGGTTGTTCATGAAGGTTTTGCACGATTTCCTGGACATCGATGCAATCCAGAGACTGGAAGTACAGATGCCTGTCTGGGTTACAGTGTCCAGAGCCACCATCAACTGTTTTGACTATTGTCAATCAAGGAGTCACAGTATTGAATGAATCTGGCAGCATTGGCAGTGCACGCACGTTCCAACCCACCACATGCTAGGATTTCTAAGGATCAAAGAAATGCAAGCAGCAGTTCAAGCTGTGGAAGAGCGACGCCAATATATGCAGCCTGATTGCTTTAGGTAGGCAATATGCAAGACATTGCAGAATCATGCGAAACCGAAAGGTGGCATTGATTGCCCTTGGGAGAACCAAGAGTGCAATTGCCCCTGACCCATGCACTGCTTGATAAAGAATGGCCTGTGAGGTTGGACTTCTTCAGCAGAGTGCATCGACTTTCAGACTTTTGGCACGGCACCTAAAATGTTTCTTTAACAAGAAGCTACTAGAAACAAGTGCCTCGCTAGTAGTAACAGGTGCCTTGCTAGAAGTAACAAGAAGCTAGTAGTAACTTTTTTTTTTTGAGGCCCCGTGGCCCTGCCTCACTTAGTTAAGCAGGCGCCTGACTTTCAGGAAAACGACCAAACGATGTTTTGGCGCTCAAGCTTCGTTCATGCCCACGATCTTCTCCTTCGTGTCTGCTTTGGACTTCTTAAAGCTAGGCATTGAATCGAACTGGTGGGGTTTGGCCTCTCCTTTCGACTGCGGTCCAGCGGGCTGGCTGGCCCCTTCTTCTGGCTTTCTTGGCCGGTCTGGCCTTTGCTCCGGGATCCTTCTGATCCTTCTCCTGACCCTCAGGTTCAGGCTCTTGCCTTTCCCCTTTGGGACTTCTCCTGCTGGGCAGGACCATCGGCCTCGCCAGGCCTCTCCGTCCTCGCTTGGGCGCCTGCAAGCATACTTGCATGAGTGATCAGGTTGTTGAGCTTTTGCAGTTGCAGGTTCAGCAGCTCCTCATTCGAGTTGATGTCTTGGAGAAGAAGGTTGGTGAGTTGGAACGTGGACGTCGCCACGACGAGGACTTTGAACTGGTCTTCGCTGCCCCACGTGCATCGAGCCCAGCCAGGACATCATCCAGTGCGTCCACCTAAAATTCCCTGGCAAACGAGATTCCTCCCTTGCCTGCTGAAGCTCTTCGCTTGTGTGGCAATCTTCGAGGGGGCACAGGACGTAGTCTTTCCGCAGGATGTTCGATATTCCATAGATCACATCCTGCTCCGCATCATGGAGCCCAAGACCCGCTTTCGGGCGGCCAGGCATCAATCGAGTAAGCTTGAGGCTCCAGACTTGATGCAAGTTGCTTGGATTTGACTAGGATGGTTGAAGCCGTATGAGGCAATGTGGCCGAGCTCACCTTCGACCCTGAGACATCGCTTGGACAAGATCCTGTCGAAGCTTGGCCTGCCGGTCCGATCGGTGAGTCAGCAGAAGCCGCTGACCCTAGCTTAGTTCCGGCCGGGAGGAGCGACCTTCCTCATTCGGCCTCACCGAATCTGCTGAACTTGTCCGCAAACGCGGGCGCTGGGTGTCATTGAAGGTAGTGGATATATACCTACAAGAAGTGGCAGCCAGCACATTCCTGACGGATATTCCACCAGAGACCCGAGATCGCATTCTGGTGGCCATGGAAGCCTTCACTTCACGGAAGTACTGCGGATGTGTGTCAAGTTCTCAAATTGCTTCTTTCCGGAGAGGTCGTGGAATTTGTTGTTCCAGCAGCAAGGCCAGGGCGTCTTCAAGACTGGGTCAGATGGGCAGAGTGGGTCGAGAAACAGCAAAATTTTGTAAGCCAACCACACACCGAAAGAGCAACGCTGGCTGAAAACAAGAGTGGACAGAGTTTCCCTATTTAATTAATGAGGTAAGGGACAAACCTGTTCGGTCCTAGCTACTTAAGGTTCTAGTATCTGGACGCAGGATAGTTCACGCTTCTTCAAGGAAACTCTCCCCTCCTGAGGGGGGGAGAGCTTCCTTCCAGAAGCGTGAGCGCGAAGGTTTTGGTTCTTTTTTTTTGTTAAACATGTTCCCAGTGGCTGAAACATGCCGAATAACGCAACGCCTGCAAAAGGCATGCTTGAAGGATATTTGTATATATTTGTGTGAATCTGAAGCGACGTGCGCGGAAACGGTGCCCAGGCTTTTTCGCACGCTACCACGACTTGAACTAATGAAGCTCTGTGGGGACGCGTTGGAAGATGAGACTTCGGTGGCAAAAAGCCAGATCAAACATAGCTCCTTGCTCATGACGTGCACTGAAGGCAGAAGATGCCGAGATGGTGAGAAACCCAACGGCAAGATGCCAGATTGCCGATTCAAGTTGTGAGCATCCAGTGGGTCACCTAGTTGTTGATCCTTCGCGTGGATCAAGAACTGTGTTTGCAGGCTCCATTGTTGGTGGACATTGTTTCGAAGGCTCTTCAGCTTCATCGAGAAAAACAGAGGGAGAACCCATCACCAAAAACACAAGTCATACGAGCAAACATACATCAAACACGCAAATCTTAGAGTCTTAGTGTGCCCAAGTTCTTGGACGTATGACCTGAAGAGAAGTACTGCTGAGTTTTTCATTGTGTTTCGATGCTTGTGCAGAGTTGGAGGTCAGCAACCTGGAGGAGGCCCTGCTACCCACTGAACTGTGGCAATCTGAAGGGTTGACAGATGCAGCTGGGATGCAGTACATCCATGTATATCCATGATAAGTCCTTTTTGTTCAACACCACCTTGTGAATGACTAGTGGCTAGTGCAACTATTTGCATATATATATATATATATATTCAGGGTTTGTTTGGTGGGAGGCCGAGCACTTTATGCGGCATTATGCATGTAGTTACTTGATGCGAGTACATGGAATAGATTCCAAATCAAACCTGATAGAACCCACGAACCCGAATGCAGTCACTTTGTATAGAAGCGTAGCACTCAAAGCGTTCTTGTTTTCGGAGATGACTCGCAGAGTCATCAACTAAAGCAGCGCCAGCACCTCCCCAGCCGTGTAGACACTCTTTCTTGACACACTTTGCTAGACAATCTTTCTTGACACTTTCTCTTGACACTCTTGCTGGGCACTCTTGCTTGACACTCTTGCTTGACACTTTGCTGGATACTTTTACAGGACATTCTTGCTTGACATTTTTGCTTGACACTCTTGCTGGACACTCTTGCTTGACACTCTTGAAAACAAGCATTTTTCACGAGACTTTCACCAGAAGCAACAAACGAGCATTTTCCACGAGACGTTCTCTTGCTAAACAGTCTTGCTTGAAACTCTTTCTTGACGCTCTTTGCTAGACCATCTTTCTTGACACTTGTTCTTGACACTCTTGCTTGACACTCTTGCTTGACACTCTTGCTGGACACTCTTGCTTGACACTCTCTCTTGACACTCT